GTTTATTAATACATGATATAAGCCACTTCCCTATTTAGATGGTTCCACTGGGAATTCCAAACCATCACACCCCTCCTGAGGTAGATAAAAAATGTCAGCTTTCAAGATTTTATGCTTGGATTTCAGAAACTAAATTACATTACTGCGTCCGGTGAGACGGCGCCATTGCCTATTCCTATCTGCATGCTCCAGGCACTGTGAGTCCGATAACATCAGTGTGTCGAAGCAGCTCGATCCAGACAATCTGCAGCTGCCTGGAGCCAGGCCAGGGAGGGGAGGGGGTGGCAAAATTCTTTCAGAATCCAGAGCAGCCCAGGGTTGACTGTAGACTGGGACCCATGGATTTTCAGGTTCTTTCCATAGACCATCAGTTCTCTCCTGTCTGTAGAGAAAGAACTGGTCTAAGTCCTACCTAGATGAACAAGAAGTTGAAAATTACTCTCCTAAACACTGGAATAAGCTAAAATCACTGAGGCTCCAACGCTCAGGTGTTCACTGAAGTGAAAGATAGGAGGGAATAGGAGGGGAAAGTGGGAGTTATCATGTGAATAGGCAGGTTTCTACTTCCTGTGAAATTAGGTGTTCATATAAAAGCCAAAATATGCCTGGAAATGGTTATTCTGTGCTTCTTTGAAGCCCAGATGTGAGGCCTTGTAACTAACCTTCTGACTGCTACAAGGCTGTGGGGTGAAGAGAAAGCATTGTTCCCCTGCCAGGAAACCCAGGAACTTTTGAAGTTTTCTTTCTAATTGTAACCAAGATTTAACCCTACAAAACGAGCATCCTTTCACAGCAAAATTTAAAAAATAATAAAATAAAATAAATGGGCTTGTTTCAGGTGCATCAAATGGCATAAAACATTCAACTCCGGCAGCATTTTCAGACCTATTTTTGTAAATAGCCAAACACAGTCTCTCCATCCCCAAGACATGTTTTAAAAAAGCAGTAAGCCCGCAAGGTCAAGATTTTGGGAGCAGTCAGTCTGACCTCATTGAGGATTCCAGTCCTCTGCCCTAATGCAAACCTGGCTTTAATATACCTCAGTGTCCTGCCTGCTCATCTGTAGGTTCCAGTGTTTGGATGCAGGAGACAGAAGAGAAACAATTTTAACTGCATGGTTCTTAACTTTTCTCACAGTGGAATAATGCAGTTACTGACTCCATTACTGTACCTGAGGGGTGGATTCATAATGAAGTCAAGTGTTTCTTCAGTTTTACTTTGTTTTTACAGAAAAATATTATTGAAGGTTTTTAAAGTGAAATATCATAATCATCACATAATCATAATCACTTGGAGTATAGATTCCCAGGTTGAGCCTTTGCTGGATAGTCATAGTTGGTGGAATAGGTATTCAGGGTTCTAGAAAAATCTCAATGCAGCCTGCTCTACTCTGTCCTGGATTCCCAGGCTGCTCCTGCTAGGTCTGTGCAGACCTTCTGCCCCAAAAATTAGAAGCCCAGGTTCTTTGCTGCTTTTTTGCCATTGTCTGGGGTGGATGATCCATGGCTAAGTCAGGGGACTCTGATGCAGCCAGAATTTGAGGCAATTACTCACCTCTCTTCTTGCTGTCATTTCAAGGTTGGCCAGGCCCTGGTCACCTGGGACACTTCAGTCCATAGGCCAATGCTCTATCCACTGAGCCAAACCAGCTAGGGCTTGCCCACACCTTTTAAGAAATAGCAGACCTGCCATGATCTCTGGACCATGGCTGGACTTCTCTACTGAATGGCTTCTCTCTGTGGAGAGTCTCAAGCTTCCCAAGGACCAGACCCATAACTCTTAAGAACAAAATAAAATTCTTGCTGAAACCTCAGCAAACTGGAGAACAGTGTGTCTTGAGTTCTCTTACTTGTCTTCACACATCTGGTCCTTCTCTGTTGGTTCTTTCTCCTATGCCAGTGATGGCGAACCTTTTGAGCTCGGCGTGTCAGCATTTTGAAAAACCCTAACTTAACTCTGGTGCCGTGTCACATATAGAAATTTTATGGTATTTGCAACCATAGTAAAACAAAGATTTTTATTTTTGATATTTATTTTATATATTTAAATGCCCTTTAACAAAGAAAAATCAACCCAAAAAATGAGTTCACGTGTCACCTTTGACACGCATGTCATAGGTTCGCCATCACTGCCCTATACTCAA